TGTTGGAAACGAGGAATTGAATTGAGAATGTGGAAATTGAAAAAGGAAGGGGTTAAAGAGTGTAGTTGGATTATTTATCGCTCACCTAATTGAAATGTTGATTATATATCCATTGTTGCATTTATTTTCTGTATAGAAATAACTGCTTTGGGCTATCGGTGGAGGATAGTCGTGATTGTTGTAGACAATGCATGATGATTAGGTGGAATGTGTCATTGAGATTGACGATTGAAAGAATACATTAAATTTATGTATTGTGTGATGATGTGTATAATTGTTGTTTATATGCATTGTGTTGTGTTGGAGGAGATAGGGGATGTACTCCACGGTTTAGGGGAAGATAGGGAATGGACCTCTAAACCGGATGTGTTGGGAGGAGATAGGGGATGGACTCCATAGATAGAGCTCATATGCTTATCTATTAATGTGTTGACAGAGCTCATATGCTTGTCATTGGAAGTGTGATAGTGCTCATATGCATATCTGTGGGAGTGATGATATAGCTTGTATGCTTATCTGTTGTTGTGTGATATAGCTCGTATGCTTATCTGTTATGAAATGGGAAGTGTTTGATATGAGTTATTGTCTCATATGAGTTGTTTGGCCAGGTTCTGAGCCACGGTTATAAATTGAGAATTAAAAGGAAATACAATTAGACTGTAATATGGACTTGTGTGTCATGAAACCGTAAAGTGTGATAAGAGAAAGTATCAGTGTTAGCCATCTATCAACTACTAATCTTTTAGTCATTGTTCATATTTGGTTTAGTGTATTTCTACTGGGCTGTGGCTCACCCTATATGGGAATATCATTTTCAGGTACAGGTAGCATGCCACCTCCAAGGACATAGCTTGGGAGGCTAGAGGCGGATACACTTTTGTCGTTTTATTTTTGATGTATTACATGTAAATTCAAGCCAAGGGCTTAATGTGTAAATGAGTTAGTACTCTTTCATGGTAACCAAGTGTTAACTTGGAAAGCTGTAAGCCCTTAGGGCATTTGCTTTTGTTGTTAACATGTAATACTTTTTGTAATAGAACTCTGATGAATAGAAAAATGTGAGATTTTTATATATCAATGTTTGTCTATATTGATGGGTTTATTGTTGTTATTTTGAGGGCGTTACACAATTCGTGGCCTTTATATTTCCCCTTCAGTCTTCCATTAATGGGAGAGTTCTGTAACTTCTTCAGCGCCGGATCATGACCATTGTCATCATCTCACGTCACAGAGAAAATTGGTCCAAGAATTTCTCTGGGCCAACCCTGATAAAATTTAGTTCAAAAACCAAAGAATTTTTCTAGTTTCAACCTAGAGAAAATTCAGTTCAAAAACCAGAGAATTTCTCTGGTTTCAACTTCAAATGAAAAAAAAAATTCAATTCACAATTTGGAACCTGGAATGCTTAATTTGGAACCCAGAGAATTTCTCTGGACTAGCATTGCTATTGCTTGTGGTGAACCCAATACAACTGCAATTGTTCCAGCACTTTTTCATACAATCGCTAATGCTTAAGCCCGAATTATCGTCACGGTCACTGGATTCGGGCGAGTTGGAAGTGAAGGCTCGGAGCAATAACGAGATGAAAATGACTTTTACTTGACTGCTTTGCCTCTTGTAGAACACAGAAATGCTGAAGGTTTCGAACTCCAGGTTTATCTTCTTGTTTGACATCTTCATCAACCTCTATATCAGTAACTAAACAGCACAAATGATGCACAAACTTTATTACCAAAAAACAACAACAATACCAAAAGCACACATGTACAAGAACACATCATTTGTGTAGTTGACAGATATAATACAAGCTGTAGAAGAAGAAATTGAATCAGTTAGACTCAACTAGTCAGAGAAAATTCGATCTAGAGAATTTCTCTAGACGAATTTTCTCTGGACTTCACAGAGAAATTCTAGTTTACAGAGATTTTCTCTGGTCCAATTTTCTCTGAACTTCACATTTCACAGAGAATTTCTCTGGTCGAATTTTCTCTGGACTTCACATAGAAATTCTGGTTCACAACAAGTAGATGGTTGTCCACCAGACGCAGAATCTTCTATCCATGTATGATGTGATAAATGAACTTTTTCTCTGTCCATAAAACATACAAAAGAGCATCCAGAATCTTCCATCCATGCAGAATCTTCCATCAATGTCTGTTCACCAGGGCTTCAAAAGAGCATCCTGCAAAATAAGATCATTGCTCGCTTGTGTTTCTGCATCTTGCTTCTCAGTCTTTTCAATTTCAGGACCTGAAGCATCTGTTTCAAACATAGAAGAAGTTGAAATTTTTTCCTCCCCAAAACTCTTAGTCTCCCCGGGCTCTGAAATAGTTGCATCTCCTACAACCAGACATTCCATTTATTGTTCTTTTGCATCTTGCTTCCCAGATTGATCATCACACTTGTTTATTGTAAGGTACAAATCTAAAGCATCAGGGACAAAAGAGTTGGGAAAGTGTATGAAATAGATTGTAAAAGCTTGACGGAAGAGTAGGGAAAACAGAGGATGATGAATTAAAATGAAATTAAGGGGGTTCAAGAACTTGAAACCCTAGAATGTGAAAGTGTATGAAAGAGGAGGAGGAAGAGGAACCTCGTCGATTATTGCCCTACATGTCCACAATTCCACTTCTTGGAGACCAATTAAGCATTCGACGAACGATGAGAGTGATGATTCATCGCCGATTGCATAGCAGCTTCGCAATTGGAGTTTCTTGAGCTGTTTACAACTCCTCCAGAGCCAACTGAGGCCGTAATCGCAGTCTTGAATCCCGGACAAACCTAGGGTTTCTAATTGTAGTTCGGTTTCGAAGTTTCCGATCGTTGAATCGGTCAAATTGAGTTTGTATGAATCGAATTGTCCAGTGTTGAAGACGATCGAGAGGTCTTTCAGTGAGTGTAAAGAGAGGAGCCAGTGAAACTTTCATCTGATATATGTTTAGGGACCTTAGATATCAAAAAATAATTTTGTGAATCTCTTCCATTACGAAAAGTGGGAGAGGGACCCTAGACTGATTTTTTCAAAAATTAATACACAAATATTTTTACAAAACAAAAGAAAAATTCATATTTCTCAGGGTTCTATGGCATTAGGTGACGTTAGCTAGCATTGATAAAAGGAAAAAAAATTGAAGAAAAGAACATGAGGGAAGAGGGTAAATAATAATAATAAATTATGTGGTTTTGCTAATTGGCGTTGCTATTTGATTACAACTTGTAGTGATAGTATGAAAAAAAAAATGAAATAATAAATAGAAAGAAGAAAAAAGAAAAAAGAAATAAAATAAAGAAAATGGAAAGAGATAGATAATTTTTCCAAATAGGTATTTTTCATATGGAAAAAAATAAATCAAATACCTATATGTATTTTTAAATTTTTATTCAAACTCTAATTTATCAAAATAGGTATTCATAAAATTGATAATCTTTTTAAAAAATAAAAATTGACATCTTTTATATTTTGTTTTTTAATTTTTAAATAAATGATAGTATTTAATTTAGTATAAGGTTTGATGGTGATCAATATGTTGGCTTTTTTTTTTTTCTTTTTTTTTAAAGATAAGATAATGTGTGGTTATTCTACTATATATATAGTTGTATTTTTTTTTTAATTTTCAAATAGATTATTGTATTTAATTTAGTATAAGGTTTGATGGTGATCAATATGTTGGCTTTTTTTCTTTTTTTTTTTCAAGATAAGATAATGCGTGGTCATTCTATTATATATATGTATTTGTCACTATAAAGGTTTTTTAGTTCTACCCAATGAAATGAGCAAAGATTCTCCTTTTACAATAGATTGAATTTATATTTATTGTTTAAACACATTTTTTTATTTATTTATCTAAGTTAGGGTTTAATAACACATGTAAGATACAATAGATTAATCTCTATTTTTATTATTATTATAGATTTATATATATTGATGAACCGAATTCTCTCATGTTGTAGAGCAAAATATAAAGTATTGAAAACATATCCAAAATTATAGAGTAAAACATTACCCAAATACAAATATATGCAATATTCAAGGATTACTCCATGGATCAAAGGTTCATTTTGTTTAAAAAAATAAAAAATAAAGAAGTTAATTTGTTTTAACTTTCTTAAAAGTTTTTTAAAAAAAATCAAACAATAAATACGTTAGTTCAAATGATAAATTTTATATTATTTATATAGTGTAAAATAAATCTTAAATATTTTTTAGTCATGTAAGAAATATTAATTTAAGTTTGTTTAAATATGCATTAATTAAAAGTTTAATAGCGCAAAGATAAAAATTAAAATTTAAGAATAGTATTGAGAAAAGATAAAATAATAATTGTTTTACATATGAATAAATAAGTAATGCAAATTGTTGAGAAAAATAAATGCATTTATTTCAACTTTAAGAAAAATCAAACAATAAATACATTAGTTCAAATGATAAATTTTATATTATTTATATAGTGTGAAATAAATCTTATATGAAATTATTAAGGTATTATCTATAATAACATTAATTTTAGAGATATGGTTTTTTTTTTTAAAACATTTTATGAATGAAGATTATATATTTTTTTAAGTTAAATGTTTTTATAATATCTTAACAATTTAGAATTTTTTAAATATTATATAGAATTTAATAAGTTTGTTCAACATTATTAAAATAATATATGGGTTTTATTAATTTCTATTGTAAAACTTCAGGAAAGTAAAATTTATTATTTAAAAATCTAGAGGCTCGTAAAATTTTTGACTCATAATACATGATATCAGCATGATATTAACATATTCTGTTAAATAAATTAATAGAATATTAACAATAAAGAAAACTAAATAATAGTTTTAAAAATAAAAAATATAATTATTGAAACCACGTCACAGAATTGTCAAAAAGCTGAGAGAAGATAAGTGTAATTTACCTGAAAATTAAAATAAAATTATGTATAAAAAAAAAAAATTGTAGCATAAATTATGTGCAGAAATTTTGTGGCCTTTTTGGTTACGAAACACACAACACAGGCGCGGCACTACCACCACTACCACTGCCAACGCTTCGAGATGAGCAAGACCAACCACTGACGCTCTCAACTATTTTTAGCCCTTTCTTCCAAACCCCCAAACCTCTCTGACATCATCGTCTTCGGTAAGTTTCATTCCCATTACTCAATTCATTTTCCATGTGGACTTCCTGTCCTGCACCTGATTTTCTCTCTCTTTCTCGGGAAAATCTGCCCAAGTAGGCTCCCTATGGCGACCCAGTCTGCGGCTCCTCTCAATCCCACTGATGATAAACCTCAAAACCCTGGTGATTTTTTCTTTTCCTTCCTTTGTTGTGTGTTTCAGTTTTACTTTCCTTGATTAATCTGGTTGATATTCTGAAATTTGATTCTGACGATCTCTGTTTGGTTTCTGAGAAAAAATTAGTAAAGGTGAAAGTTAACAATTTTTTTTTTTTTTTTTTTTTTAAAAGTAAATTTCATGTCAACTGAGGATTGACTGAGAGGAGGTTTTTTCCTTTCCTTAGCATATCAACTGAGCAATTAGCTTTTATTGGGTTAATTTAGAGCTGTGCGATTCACGCTATCAAGTAAACTATTTCGCAGTTTGCACTGATCATGTCATGATATGGGTTTTTATCATATGATCACAAAGTTCCATAGTTGTTTTACTGTACTTTCACCATTAGCATCTTTTTTTAAGTGATAGGAGCAGCAATTGAGTTAGGGCTTGATTAGAATTAGATAGGAGTGAATCATTTGGGAATTGATCAGTTTAATGTTGCAACTTACTATATTTTGGGGTTTCAGTGGTTAAATATTGGCTTATCAAACTTGAGGTTGTGCGTTCGATATTGGGGGCAGCCGCTTTGTACAATAATGTCAAAGATTAGGTCTTTGCCCAATCTCCGCCATCCAAAACCCCATCCAATGGGATCTAAACTGGGTGTATCTTTTTTATATTTAGGAAATTGTAAGATTAACTGGTAAAATGAACTGATTTGTGGATTTCCAATGATGTTGCAAATCATTTACATATGAAAAAAAAAAAAAAAAAATTTGATGTTTGAAGTCACTTAGCAAAAGGAAAAAGATGCTTTCACGTTACTCCCAGCTTACCATACTTAGTAACAGTTTTTAGTTGCATTACTTGTATATATATATATATATATGAATTCATACTCTATGCAAAGTACAAGATCAGTCGTGGACATTTAGGCTGTGTTTAGATCATAGATTTAGGTAGGGATCTAGAAAGGAAAAGGTGAGGGAAATGAAGAAAAAAAAAATAGCCTATATTTCATTCACCTTTCGCATTTTCCTTTTCTTTTCCCTTTTTAATTTGCTACCCAAATCCATGATCTAAACACAACCTTAGCCAAGTAGTTCTTGGGATTGAGTAAGGTTTTATAATTGGAAGACCAAAGATTAACTGCCAAAATGAAATAATTTATGCATTTTATCACAATGATGTTGCAAATCACTAAGTGAAAGGGAATTAATTTTTTTTTTTTTTTGGTTTTACTTCTAGCTTATTGTCTTAATGAAAGGTTTTCAGTTGTATTATTTGTAATATACAAATCCATGTTCTGTGCAACGTAAAAAGATAAGACGTGGAAATTTAACTTTAGTGGTTGTTCAAGCCATGATCAATGGCCGTCCTATCATAAAACTTTAATCAATTCCAAGAATCCAGTAGTTAAGCCAGATGTAGTTATGAAACTCGCTGTTTTTTCTCGTTATCTCAGATGTTTTAGAAGTCATGGGTCTGTTGTTCCTGTTTTTGTTAAATCTGTTGGCATTATTTGATAGTTCTAGTACTCCTCTTGTTATCTTTGCACGCCTTTTCTGTGAACATTTCATAGAAGTTTGTTAACCAGCATGACTCTTTGATACACATGATATTGTCATAATTCTTTTTAAAGTAAAGTAGAGTATACTGAAGAAATGACAAAGGGGGCACTGCTCATTTTCGTGGTGTAAACTGTAAATTGAACAATACTAGTTGATGATTTTTTGGTTTTTTACTCACCGTGCTTTTCAGATTCAATATTCTTTTCCTGTCCACACTGAAATGCTTTTAGTTGGTTTGTCTGCATATCAAGTGAACTAGATCAAACATGATTAGTTGTTCTTGTCATAGTTCTTTTGAGTTAATTTTTTTAGTTGGTTTGTCTGCATGTCAAGTGATTTAGACCATTTTTTTAAGTAGTTTTTCTCATTAAAGCACTTCTTAGGTTCTTCTATTGTTGTTAAGCCTGCGGTTGTTGGGCCTTTGATCAGAACGATACTGGTGAAGATGGTTGATAATTTGAATTTTATAAATTGAAGTTCACAAATATTTAACATTTAAGTTGATTTTGTAAATGCGTCTTGTACTTTCAATAATTATATGTATTTTTAAATTACAGCTTTGGAGGGTGTGCAACCAACAATGGAGGATCAGCATGACGCCAACGCAAAGGCTAGTAGAGAAATTTCTTCCACATCTGTGTTTGTGAACTCAGAACCAATGCGAGAGGAACAAGTGCAAAATGCTGTAAAGTTCCTTTCACACCCAAAAGTGAGGGGATCCCCAGTCATCTACAGGCGATCATTTCTTGAGAAGAAGGGCCTTACAAAGGAGGAGATAGATGAAGCTTTCTGTCGTGTGCCTGTGAGAAAATTATTCTTTTTGGTTCACACTTTTCTGATTGCTAGAGGCTTTTGAAATGTTTATGAAGCCTTTATTGAAAATCAATCTATCCATTTGTGTGTGTGACGTGTCAGTGTATTTGGTGTTTGAGTTGTTGACATTTGGTGTTAATTACAGGATCCACCCCAGAATGTTTCAAGTGTGCAGCCTGCTGGTACTAATCAAGGTAAAAAAACTTTTGTGTCCAATTGTGATTTTCTGCGTGTTACTGGTTGAACCGGTTTTTTGATTTGACGAAAGTTTGCTGTTTGTTGCAATAATGTTTTCCCTGTTTGCTCTTTCATGTTGATACAGATGGCCAAATGAAGCCTTTGTCAAATGTTCAGCCACAAGTTTCAACTCAAACTCTGCAGCCTTCAGCAGCTGCTCCTGCTGGTGTCATTTCTAAAGTGGGGACCTTGACACAGTCCCGATTTCACTGGTCCCATGCTGTTTTTGCTGTAGGCTTACTTGCTCTTTCTGGTGCCGGAACAGCTGTACTTTTCAAGGTATTATAAAACTTATATTTTATTATGCCATGTAATACAACGCACTACATTAGCCAATGCTTAACTTTATGAAGCTTGCAATTATATTTACTATTTTGTTGCATCCACACGGTTCTTGCATGCAAGTGGCTGGAGATTCCCATTCTCTCTGGCTAGCTATCCTCTCACTAAACTATAGCCTAGGGTTCTTGTTCCTATTGGTATCCTCCCCTTAAAATGTGTCAAATCGCTTTAACTGTTAGATTGTTAATCGAATTGAAGGAGCTAAAGCAGATTATATGAGTATATTTATACCATGAAACGTTTAAACCATCAAATTGTTATTCCAAACTCTAGGTATTGCCATGCTGAATTCTCTGTGCAGTTGAACATTTCGAACACAACATGCTTGATGACAAGCATATAAAGAGGAAAAATAGCCAATATAGAATCTTACATGGAGTACATCTGGGGCTTTATGTACTCATGTATAGGGTTAGTTTGAGTCTTAATTTTATGCATTTTAATGATTTTATAAATTAGAATGCTGCTAGACAGAGTTAAGCTTTTTATTCACTTTTAGTAATTGAGATATTTAGGTAAATTTGTGAATTGTTGGACATGTGCTATAGGGTCATCAATGGGTCTTCTTATTGGTCGAAACTATGTTATTGGGCCTTGTCTGGAGTCTTTATTAGGTCTAATCTAAAAGAGTCTAATTGGTCAAAAATTTCTTAACTTCGTAATCATGGAATCATAGTCCTTTTATGAATAGGAAGAGCTTAGCAACATATATACATATGCATGTAATCTTTTTCTTTAGGAGAAATTGAGTTGAGAAAATTTGAGATTGTGTTTCTATGAGCCCAACCCTTGCTAGGGTGAACCTACTCTTTTCTTCTCTTTCTCTTGAGACTAATTCCAGAAATCATGCAACCTGTAACTTTTGAAAGTCAAGCTCAAATTAACCTTTTCAACTTGGAAATCTCAACATGTATATCTAACCTAAAAGCTTTTGACAACCAAAATCTGCCACAATGCCTATTTTAGGCAACAATACGCAAACGCTGACTACATGATACATGACTTCAGTTCAGACCCCAAGGAAGTTCATTGCTGTACTGGCATTATTTTAGCAACTCTTTGCTTCCCTTGTCAATCAAGCTGTCATTGCAAATTACAATCTTTTTTTAATGTTATTTCACTCTCCTGTTAATCAATGAGCCTGTCTGCAATCGTTCATGCAGATGACTAAAGCTGACTTAAAACTTATTTGCAAGCTAATTTATGAATTTCAGTCAAAACATGAACAGCTCATCCTTGATATCAAGGCTGCATTCATTGTGTTGCTAGGTGGTTTTGGCTCTGATATCTGATATCAGTTATTTCCCACTTACATGTTTTAAACTAATGTCATATTAAAATTGCCAATACTACTGAATTAGTGATAGTGAAAGTTAAAGTTTGAGTAGACCAGGAGTAAAGAAAAAGGGTTAAGAATGGTTTAAAAGTAAATGGGAGGGTTAAATAGTCAATCTAGAATGTTGAACCCATCATGTGTAGATAAATACAGAAGTTTCATTAATTTAAACAAATAACTAGTTAAGAGAGAAGGGTATAAGATAGCTTCTTAGCAGTATAGAAATTTGGTTGAAAATTAATGTATTTGAAAGTTTAGGGGGTGAAATTTATACTGGCAATAGAGTTCAGGGGCTAAATATGTATTTAACCCCTTCTCCTTTAATTATATAATGTTTAAAGATGGTTACACTATCAGATGACACATTCCTCTTTTCAGAATGCTATTGTCCCTAGGTTGAAGTCTTGGATTCGTAAGGTTGCATTCGAAGAAGAAGAGTCTGCCAAGAAACCCAGCTCCAAACCGAGTTTGGAACAAGAAGCAACTGCTGCTGCAAAAGCTGCTGCAGCTGCAGCTGCTGATGTGGCACGAGCAAGCCAGGAAATGTTGATTTCAAAGACTGAAGGTGAGTTTGTAACTGATTTAACCTAAATTTTCATTATGATGACAATACTGAAAACTTGTTTATTTCCTTTTTCCTTTTTATGTCTTTTGTATGCTATGTTGGATTCTTTAGCAATAGGCCTGTTTGGTAGAGCTTATAAGCTGCTTATTTCAGCTTTTAGCTTAATTTAAGCTAAAATATTGTGTTTGGTGCAGCTTAAGTTAACCAGCTTATAACTTAAATCAAGCTATTTCTCAGCTTAGCTCAAAAGCTGGTCAGGGGGTGCTTAAATTTTTGACTTAAGCGCGGTGTGGGGGGCTAAAATTACTTAAATGCCCTCGTCAATACCCAAATATTAATATTAATTAATATTAATATTAATTAAAAAATAAAAAATTGTATATTTCTGAAGAAAAAGAAAAAAAATCAATATTAATTGAAAAATAAATATTAATTGGTATTAATTATCAATAAATTCATATTGTATATTTTTATGTTAATTAAAAAATAAAAAAATGTATATTTCTGAAGAAAAAGAAAAAAATCAATATTAATTAAAAAAAATCAATATTAATTGGTATTAATTATTAATAAATTAATATTGTATACTTTTGTAATAAATTAATTATTAATTGATACTAATTGATAACAATTGTTGATTATTAATATTAATTGATACTAATAAAAATTAAATATTAGTATTAATTTATACTAATTAATAATTTTAATATTAATTGAGACTAATTAAACCATTAATTGATACTAATTAAGCAATTAATTGATACTAATTAATTTATAATGGAAAATAATTGTGATAATAATACTTCCATTACATTTTTAGCAAATGTATCAATTTTTATATTAATTGATACTAATTAATATTAATTATATTAACTTTTATTAATGAAATGTTTTTTAAAAATAAAAACTGAAAAAAATGACAAAATAATTATTTTTATATCATATAAGGACAGAAAGGACAATTATATAGTAAAAAGCTATTTTACAACTTATTAACCAAATACTACTATGCTACTTAAATCCATAATCTCACAGCTGCACCAAACAGGTTAACAGCTTATGTTCACAGCTATAAGTCATAATCTGTTAAGTTATAATCTATAATTACTTTTCCACAGCTCTACCAAACGGGGCCAATGAATAATTTCATGATGGATGACATTTTTTTTTGTTCTTGTCAGAGAAGAAACACTTCGAGGAGCTTATGAATCTGATAGGGTTGCAAGTCCAGGAAATGAAGTCGATGAGTAATGCCATACGGAAATTGGAAGGTGGAATAGAATCACTTCCTTGTTGAATAAGTTTCATCTTAAACATGGTTCCATCATCATTATATGTCAAGTGTCTGATTATTTTAGTTATAACACGATTGTCTATCTCTGTAGTGCTGCATATTATAATGTTTATAAGTTATGTGCATGTTTGGACATTTCGCAGACTTTAGGTTAGAAATGAAACATAGTTCATTACTAAGAAGCATGGACATGGATGTAGACAAAGATGTAGACACGTACACGGGGACATGGTAATTAAAGAAAATGTTGACGGATATGGCGGGGACACAACAATAAATTATATATATATATATGTGTGTGTGTGTATTTGCTATGTAGATTAATATTACATTAACAAACAATCAAAATTAACAAAACTAATACTAATTTAATATTTTCTTTTAAAAAAAATGCTCACTCTTAAATTAACTCTTGGTGTTTATGTCTTATTTATGGATGATCTATTAATTATTTAAATCTAAGAAAAAAGTAATAAACATTCAACATTCAATATCCAATATCCATCAAATGCATTAAAGAAGAGGGAAAAAAAAAACTAGGTGTGCCCCCCTGAAATCAAATTAATTAAATAAAAGGACTCGTCATGCCCCCGTGCCTGACACCTCTACGACCCTTGCTTTTAGGTGTCGGTACTTCATAGGTTCATTATGTATAGTGATTAAGATTATTTTTGGTTTGGATTGTTAGAAGTAACATTAAGCATTATATATATGTTTGCCAAACATAAGTATTAAGTTTTTGGTTTTTTAATTTTAAATATTTCTCTCTTTTCTTTTTTTATTTATTTATTGATCAGCAAATATATATATATATATATATATTTAAAAAGTAGAGAAGTACAGGAGAGAAGGAGAACAAGGAGTCCTGCAAGAACAAGCAAAAAACTCTCATTACGCTGTCCTCAAATCTCTAGAAATTAAAAAACATGAGGCCCTTCTAAAAAGAGGGGAAACTAAAATCCAAAAAGATGAGAAGTAACAAACTTTATCTTGATAAAAACTCAACATCTTCAGTCGTATCCTAAAAAATCCTTGCATTATGCACCAACCAACCCAAAAAATCGTGACATAGATACCTCCCACAGGGCTCTTTTGTTTTTGCATTGAAACCCAAACCCTGAAATCAATCAAAGGTAACTGGGAGATAGAAGTTCGGGATGCTCAACAAATCTCCACCATTTGAAAGTGCTGGGACCATAAAAACAAAGTCAGTGGGCAATTTCAAATATTTCTTTCTTTTAATTGCTAAATCAGAAACTGGTTTAATCACATTGGTGATTAAGTATGGGAAAATGAATTAATCCAAACATAGCTCAAGTAGTTGCACATGCACACACTACACATCCCATATCTCACTTCGAGCATTTGCACCCAACTTAATTAATTTTTGCATGCCCATGCGTAATACTAGGTTGCAACTTTTGCAATGCTTGATACATACAAATTGTGCTTGAGACCCTTTCTGAAGCTCCATAACAGCTTGTTACTAGGTACAAGATTTAGAGTGAGGGAGTGTAATATATTTTTCCTTTTCTATTTTCCCTATCTACTCTTCCCCCTTTTTTCGGAGTTGGGGGAAGAGTTGAGGGTATGTTGAGTGAGAAGGTTTGATCAAATCAACTAGGTGATATTTTATGGAGTTCATGTTTTATGCTTCATTACCTTAAACTCTTTACATTTGTTTTTGACTTGTATCACTCTAGGTTAACAGCAAAGAGCCAAAGTACGTGTTTGGTTGACTTAGTGGGTGTTTGGGAAGTGGCTATTTTAAAGGCTTTTTGGCTATTTTAGTAGGCTATTTTAGTTTTTGTGTTTGGGAAGATAGGATGGATTTTTATTTGAGTTGTTGTATTGAAAAATATGTTTGAAATGATGTTTGAGGTTGAAATGACAAATTTGTCCCAACCTCACTTTTTCCAAAATTGATCTGTAGGGGCAAAATTGTCATTTCAGCCTGCTTTTTTTTTTTTTATAAATATAAATTATTAGTTTTGGGTACTATTTGAGGCTATTTGATTTTTTTACTGTTTGTGGTTATTTTAGCCTCAAACTTGGGTTCCCAAACACCCCCTTAGTTTGAGTTTTCTTCTGCATTTGTTTATAATCTGGCATATGGATTCATTGATGTGAAAAATGGCACATGATACTATGTTTCACAATAAAATCTTGGGTACTATTTGAGGCTATTTGATTTTTTTACTGTTTGTGGTTATTTTAGCCTCAAACTTGGGTTCCCAAACACCCCCTTAGTTTGAGTTTTCTTCTGCATTTGTTTATAATCTGGCATATGGATTCATTGATGTGGATGGTAAATTCTAACACTATGTTTCACAATAAAATCCACTATAGATATTATAGCTGAAGCCTTGTTCATTGTCAATTGAAGGTGTTTTAATTTCTTAAAGTTCCTTACTTCAATGAAGAGTGGTTTTCTCATTTTTGTATGATGATGTGTTCCTTTGTGGAGTTTCCGAGAACAGACTAATATTATCTATTAACATAATCTTACGATTCGTGCTTCGATTCACGATTCATGCGTAGATTGATATATATCTTTGGATGAATATATTTTGGGATAGAATCTATGGTGAATCATTGACAAGCAATTTACTTTTTATGATTCATACAATTCTTGAAACTATCATATTCAACAGATTCCAACCCTTTTTATAATCTCTTTTTGTTTAAATAAAACAATACAACTTTAAAGAGTATGTAGTATGAAAATGACCAATACACACACAATTTGTTGTTATTTTGTTGATGAGGGAGTTTTTAGGATCCAATCAGATCCAGTCAGACCCAATATGATTATAACTTTTTTTTCCCTAAAAAATTCTTAATACATCTTCTTTGGATGTTTAAGATTAAAGTGACTTGCACCCATGAATTATCTATTGCTATTTAGTGAAATAAATTTGGTTTAATATTGCAAGGGTCAGGCCGGTTTGATTTATGATATGATTCTCAATTGGTACTGGTGAAGGAAGCCCATTAAATAATTTTTGTGCATGAATCTATTAGAAACTTGATAGAGATTATAATATGATAGTTATTTCATAGTGGTTTGAGTCGAGTATCGATGTTTATATAAACCTCTGCAGAAGATGTCTTACTCTCATCTATACTAATCATTGTTTCTCATACAATTATCAGGGCAAGGTAATAACCCTGGGCAAATACCTCTTGTTGAACAAGATCATCAAGTCTCATTCACTAATTCGAGGGTGAGCTGAATTTAGGCATAATTTGAAAGCTTTATAGATGATTTGGAGCCGACATTTTCTGGTCTCTAGTAGCAATTTTTCAATTTTATTTTTTACTTATTTCTATTGATTTTGCAGCCATCAAATGGGAATGGCAAGGTGGACTATGATTTGTACTCAGGAGGTTTGCTCAGCGATGAGTACTGATTCTCTATTGTTTAATTTCTCTAGAGCTTTAAATACTGATTTTATATCCTTGGAATTTCTGTGCAGCGAGATCTTCATCACCACCTGCAACTGTGGAACCCTCTGTTGCACCACCTCACCCAAAAAATTATATGGAGGTAAGTTCTATTTTTATTTATTATTTATTGTTTTTTCTGTAATATATGTGCATTGTTAAAATATCCTCAAAAGAGTAATGGTTGTTATGTTCACGAGTGCAATTACTTCTCTCACGTGCCATTTTTGTCATTTAAACTGAAAAGGCAGCTTTGTTATCTAAAACACATATAGGTGTTTTAAAGAAACTGCTTCAATTTTCTTTTGGAAGTAGGTAAAATCCTTTAAAAGTAATCCTTTAGAGGTGAACTATTGTTGTGCAGCAATCACAGAGGAATCCCAATAGCCCAACCAACACCACCCACTCCCTCCTTTTACCCCTGCAGAAAAATAAATAAATAAATAAAATCCTGGCTCACCCTGTGCATTGAGGTGGCACATGGGTTATGACCTAAGAAACATGGACACGGACACAAATACTAATAGAGGCTAGAAAAGTTTCCACCTTTTGATTTGATGTCAGGATATTATGAAATTGCTTGCAAAAATAAAAAATAAAAAACATCATCATTTATGTTTTTAAAATAGAGGCTAGAAAAGTTTCCACTTTTTGATGTTGAGAATCATGTTGCAGATCATGGCTATGGTGCAAAGAGGAGAGAAGCCTCCTAACATCAGAGTAAAGTCACTCCTCCTAGTCTCTATATTTGGTTTTTCTTGTTGGGTATTACTGCTGATCCTCTCTCTTTCTGGGTTTCTTTCAGGAGATAAATGATCTACCACCCAATCCTAATCAGCCATTACCAAATCCTCACTCAGCACCAAGAGCTAAGGTTTGTTTTTGAGTGTTTCATTCTATTACAATTTCCATTTTTAGTTTTTCCTGCAATTATTTCAGAGTTGCACAGACCATTTAGCGTGGGAGGTTTTTTATTTTTTATTTTTATGAATATAGAATTTTGAAGAATTATATTTTTTTTTGCAATTTTTATTCTTTGAATACTATCTTCCTTTCACCAAGCCCAGGCCGACCCCACTGACTTCAATGCTCATCGCTGTAAGTCTGTAATAGGCAATCACACTATATCAATTTGAATTATTCACAACTACAGCTCAACTAATAAGTTGATTGTCAAAATCTTAGCTGATCTAGTGATTTATTGCTATCTAATTTGGCTTGGAAGCCCACCAAGTTGTGTGTTTTTTGTGAGATGCTCCCCAAAAATTTGCATGCATTAACTTATTCAAAAAAAAAAGAAAGAAGAAAAAAGAAAAAGTGCATGCACAATATGTTACATAGACTTAGGTACGACTATCAGGTGCGGGTGTATAAAAACATAAGATATGTGTATAATGGATACTTAAATATTGCATATTGTATAATAATATTCTTAGATGAGAAGATGGAAATTTTATAAAAAAATGTTTTTAGTAGCAAATGTGTGTTTCTTCTTCTTCAAACATGAAAAAAATTCGAGGATCAAGTGTTTGAATTGGGTACAGCTGTCGGTCACATATATTCTTAATAAGATGATGTATATTTTGTAAAAAATGTACTTGAAAGATATTTTTAATAGCAAATGTGAGTTTCTTTTTTTTCAAACATCAAAAAATAAAATAAAATAAAATAAAAAATGGAGGATCCAAGTATTTAAATTGGGTATCGGTATTGGTGACATCCCACACTTATTCTCGTCATATACATACTGGTGGACACAAGTAGTTTTGGAGAAATAGAAGACTCCATGAAATGCATAATGCACTAAACCTTCCACAATTGTCCTAAATTTGAATGTCGGTTTTCTTAAAGTAGTAAATATCCCAGCGGAAGTGTTGCGATATAGGCTTTTGTATCGCTCATTTACGCTAGATGCAGCTGAATACTCCAATTATTTTGATGATTTGTTTCTTCTGATTAGCCCTGGGAGGTTGGTCAGACTCAAAGCAACTTTAGCCAGGTTCTTCGGTCCGGCGAGACCAGTAATGGGTTAAATTCCAACTTCCAAGATAATGGACTTGTCAATCAGTTGAACGGAGATAGTTCAGTGCCTTGGTGGCAAAGAAAAAATGTCAGAATCACAGAAATTGGAAATGAAGACGAATCAAAGATCGGGTATTCTGGTGTGCTGACTGAGCGACCAGTTCAGCGGTCGTGGGTCCCTCCCCAGCCACCCCCAGTAGCAATGCCTGAAGCTGCTGCGGCCATACGACAACCCAAAAAACCCTTATCTCAGAAACAGCTGGCTGATGATGGGATGGTGGCCAATCCTTCAGATTCACCTGATGAGTTGCAGAGGATCACTAAAATATCTGAATCGGGTGGTGTAGTGGATGTCAATGGTGGGTACCCTGGATTGGACAGACAGTTTTCTGAATCAGGAGGCGTAGCGGATCCTAATGGTGGGAGCTCGGGGATGCACACAAGTGAGATTCAAGAAATACAAGGGGAGTATTAATGAAGAGAACTGAAGAGGATTTAATGATTTGATCTCCTTAATATAAGGTATGGATATCAAATAGTTCCTCCCGGAGTAGAAAAATAATTGCTAAGAATATGTTTGCTCATTCTAAAATCTCACATATGTTCTGTACAAGTAATATAAGACTATTTGTGATGAAGAATAATAGGGTGCTTTGGGAAATTGATAAAAAGTTCATTTTTTGGCTTTTTTGGTGGCTTTTTTGGGAGAACTTGGTAAAAAGTCAAAAAGCTGGCTTTTTACCAAGTTACCAAATTGCCCCATGATAATGAAGTCTAGTTATTTGTTGTTTCTACTCTTCCATGTAGGTCAAAGATTTATGGTATGCTAATATATATAACTAGCGGTAATGTTCGTGGATTTTTTTTGTTGTCATTTATGAAATATTAAAAAATAAAAAATAAAAAGAAAATTGAGGAGACCTAAAATAAGAAAATATAAGGAAAAATAAATAAATCTTTCCATCTAAATCCAGAATTGGTGTTCATCAATCTTATTAGTTCTATAATATCGTCTACGTTTTGTGATGAATCCTTGCATTATGTTTTTAGTTTACATGTTAAAAAGAATTCAGATCCTTAGTTTGTGTTTGTCTAATTAGTATGTGAAATTAATTTTGAACACCTTTTCAAGCATCGAAGAAGATGAACATAATTAGATCAATATGAAAAGAGTAGCTAGTCTAAAATTGTCATTCAGACCGATCATAAAATTGAGAGTACTCAGCTCAAATTTCGTTGACAATACCTTGATTTACTTGATACTTGGTAGTATAAAATTGTCACTCAGACCAATCATAAAATTGAGTCCTTAGCTCAAATTTCACTAACAATATCTTGATTTACTTGATACTTGTAACTTGTAAATGATTACAAGTATTTTAAAAAATTAAAAAAAAAAAAAAAACCCTAGATTTTGTGTGATTGTACTTTGGAGGGGTTCCACTTTAAAATAATAAATCAAATCAAATAAAATCAAATTTTAAGTCACATTAAATGGGATCTGTTGCATTAATATTTTTTCTCCACTTGATTCTATCAAAAATTATTTTATTAGTCAAATTAAGGAGATTTATATTTTTATTTACTATACTAGTCCATGTCAATTTAGGTTTACTCCTTCCCCTAACGCTATTATCTACTGTCATTATATCGCATATTTTCACTATTGTCTTTGTTGGTCTCCATTGTATATGAATATGACCAAACCATTTCAATTTATCCTCTCTCAACTTAGGCCAAGTTTGGGATGTTTAGAAAAAGTCAAAAAGTCACTATCCTATTTAAGTCACATCATCTTATTTAAGTCACATCACCTCTCTAACACATCACTTCAAACCCAATCCAAACCCAACCCATATTTCATAAAAAGTCAAAAAGTGCACTTATTTAGTCTTCCCAAACTTGACCTTAGTTTCTATCAGTACTATTTTCATTCTTAACTATACTCATTCCTAACTTTGTCTTTTCTAATTTTGTCACACATCCATCTTAGCAACTTCATCTCGGTAACTCTCATTTTCTTTACATGTTTCTTAGTTACCTAACATTTCATCGGCCCTGTTTGGTGCAGCTTAAAAGCTGCTTATTTCAGTTTTTAGCTTTCAGCTTAATTTAAGCTATTTTGATGTGTTTGGTTTAGCTTATAGCTTATAGTTTATAGTTTTTTGGAAGTCAGAAATCAGCTTATTCTTTGAGTGGGGCAGGAGATGCTTAATTTATAAGTCAGAAATCAGCTTATGTTCATAGTTATAAGCTATAAGCACTTTTCCACAGCTCTACCAAATAGGGCCATCACATAAAACATTGTTAGTCTAATAATCGTTCTATAGAATTTCTCTTTTATTATAATAAATACTCATTTATCACACAGTACTCCGGACGCACTCCTCCACTTAAGTCAACCCGCCTTAATTCTGTGGATTACATCCGTTCCAATCTCTTCAATCGTTATGATAATCGATCTTAAATAACGAAAATATTTACTCTTAGGTAGTTCTTAATTCTCAATCTTCGCTTCTACATTACTTCCATTGTGTCTATTACTAAAATTATATTTTATATACTCTGTCTTCCACATTAATAATAATAATAATTACTTTTTTTTAAATGAAGTTAATATTCTGCTTTATTGCCTCATAAATCTTTTCAAGAAAAGAAAAATTTTCCAAATATATTTGTAATTTAGATCAATTATTATTAATGGTTATAAATTACAACAAATAGGGAAGCATGCAGATTTATTTACCTATATAGCGTGCAAGCACACTCCATTGCAGCATTCACATTCAAAAATGTAGAGCAAAAATACACTTCCGTGCAAGAAAGCAAAAGCAAATACACTCATTTTTTTCATCAATGATCAAATTAAACAAAAACAGAAGGCAACCTTCAAGTACAATTAGAACAACTCCAGTGCTCAAAGTCAAAATGATTTTGCCATAGCCATTTTTGGCATTCAACAGTATCAAAAAGTAATATTTTGATTATCATCATTCCAATTGTGATTATCATTTTGATACAACCAATTTTGACATCACTATTATTAAAGTAATTTCTACATGCTTTAACTGAACTTTCTCTTTCACTTATCCAAATGAGTATCAATTTTTTGATTTCTTATTTGTTTTTTTGAAGATGGATAAATTATGATTGTTGGGCATTTAAATTTTAGTTGTCAGTTGAGATTTGTAGGAGAAATGAATTATAATTGGATAAACAATTGGGTTTTTAATCGAAAATCTTATATGGTAAAAAATAATTTTATCAAATTTTGAGTTAAATTAATTTAAGATTTGATTTTGTCATTTTTTGGTAATGGACTTGCCTCACCATTAGAATGGGATTTTTGTGAAGTTAGCCATTTAACTTTGACAAGTCTTTTTATTTTACCATTGAAGTTTCTTTTAGAGTGTCATATATTTCTTTCTCAAATGACATTATAGAAGACCAAATGAAGGAATAACCCGAGTGGTAAAAGTTCCCTTCAAGTCTGAACTTTGAATCTTGTTTTCCTCTTTTTCTTAGATTATAATATATATCATGTTGTAAATAAACAAAACATCTTTAAAAAAACAACAATACTAGGTATCATAAAAAAAATTTCATGAAAATAATCATGAAAATTTTGTGATCCTTAGATTATACTTAGAATAAAGCACCACACATTAATCAAGGTAATCCAAAGATCATAAACTTTCCATGATCATTTTCATAAAAAAAAATTTCATAGTTCCTAACTTTTTCCTTAAAAAAATGACAAAAAAAAAAAAAAAAAGACGACTTCCTTAAAAAAATAAAAAAAAAAAAAAAAAAAAGACGACGACACTGTAAAAATTTATTTGTCAAACACCCGTAGCGGATCAATTCATATGCAAGAACAATTCTTCTAAAATCTTGGGTTTTAATGTAAACGTTTTGGTCCTATTTTCCTCTCCACACAAATGCATACATACAGACATCTTTATGTTTTATTATTCAAAAGTCATTCGTATATTTGGTGGACTAAAAATAAAATAAAAATATATTGTAAATAGAATTATTACTCACTATGGTAATAAATGATCATTTTATTATATTCTATCTCATTTTATTGAACCAAATAGAGTGTATAATGTTTTATAAGTAGAATTATCATTCACATTGTAAGGGAATAATAATTTTATGAGAGATTTTAAGGGATAAATCCTCTATTTTATTCTATCTCACTCCGATAAATTAAATAGGACATTAATGAGATCAATCAAGAAATAGAAGGCACGTGTCGTGTTACAATTTAATTCAAGAATTAAGAATTATTACTTGGTGTAAAACCCCACATGTACTTTGACATTTTGTCATGAAAAAACACTGGAAACATGTTATTTTAGTAACTTTTTGACTTTTTATAAAAAGATGTGTAAAAAAATAAAAAGAGTGATATGATAACTTATGGTGACTTTTTGATTAAAATAATTACTCTCCAAATGAGACCTGACCAATTGAAGAAGTCCCGTTTTGCTCCAAACAAAATAAATAATAATTGAAGAAGTCCTGTAATTTATTTTTCCCCTCTTGCTTTGGAAATTTTTTTGGCGAACGGGCTCATATTTATGGGTTGTTGCTGCTTGTGTTGCACCTGTTTCTCAACAAAAAGTGGGCCAAATCATTGTTTTTCATTAATAGGAGCATTTGTGAAAGAGTAATCTGAGATATTTCAAAAATTTTATTAAAATTTTTACAAAATGTTTTATATGGGTATAGTACTCATATCATATTAGTCTCGTGTGGGTTCCACACCCATATAAGATATTTAGTAAAATTTTTGGTATAATTGTTGGGATGTCTAACATTTTTATTTGTGAAAAGCCAAAAAATACAAAAAGTAGAGACAAGTAGGATTTTTTCCCTTTGTGTGTGTGAGCATGTGTTTGATGTTTGAAGATATTTGGTTATTCGGTAGATATAAGTTGTTGCGTGATGTTTGATAAGTTTGGGAGAGTATTTTTGGGATATGAAAAAAAAAGTAAAAATCATGTGTTCTTCAAATTTGTGTTTCAAACATGTTTTTTTAATTTGTGTTTGATGTTTAAATGTGTTTGGTTGTTTCGTAGATGTAAGTTACTGTGTGATGTTTAATAAGTTTAAAAGGATATTTTCAAAATACAAAAAAAGTAAAAAATATATGTGTGTCTTCAGACTTTTCCGTTTGTTTGTGTGTGAGCATATGTTTGATATTTGAAGGTGTTTGGTTATTCAGTAGATATAAGTTGTTCTGTGATGTTTGATAAGTTTGAGAGAATATTTTCGGGACACGAAAAAGTAGAAAACATATGTGTTTTTCAGATTTATGTTTGATGTTTGAAGGTATTTGCTTGTTCGGTAGATATGAATTGCTGTGTGATATTTAATAAGTTTAGAAATATATTTTTGGGATATCAAAAAAATAAAAAAAAACATATGCATTTTTCAAACTTTTAAAATAATAATAGATATGTATATAGATATTATTTGGCCCTTTATAGATCTCTAGTTTATGGTTGTGAATTACTAAAAAGTTTTTTTCGACAAAGTCTCAAGTTTTGTAAACAAGTTGAGTCTGAGTTGTTTTTGTTTGTTTTGAAAACTAACAAGTTTTAAAATTGTGTACAAGTTTAGTTTATTTATTTTTTAATTAATTTTAAGATTTTCAATCCAGGTTTGATTAGTTTGATTTTTATTTTATTTTTTCAAATATAGTTTTATGGTGCATTTGAGCTTTGTTGAACCAAGTTTGAGTTGAGTTGAGTTTTGAATTAATAAGTTTTAAAATGTATTTAAATTTGATTTGTTTTAATAATAAGTTAATCTTGAATAATTTTTAATTTGCCGAACAGGGTAGAGATTCTTTGGTTTGTTTTACCGTTTTAAAAGTAGCAAATACTTCAACAATAATGCTTTTTTGGATGGAATGATTCATTTGTAAAAAAATTTCAAATTCATCGTACTAATTTAGTTTACACAAACCATTTTACCAAATTCCATAAAATTCTTCTTAGATTTTGAATTTGTATATCATCATCATCATCATCCTCGTCGTCGTTTCTTTGCTTAGAATAGGAAAATGAGAAGAATATATATTATTATTAGGATAAATTATAAATACATTCTTAAGATTTATTTAAAATACAGATTATCTTTTGTAATTCTTAAAATTGAGTCGCATAAAAAAATGATTTATTTTATTAATAAATTATCAAGTAAATTAACAATTTTTAATGATGTTGTTTCTATTGTTATTATTATTATTATATTTCATCAGATTTATTTAAAATAAAGATAGTCCTATATAGTTTTAAAAATTATATTCTCGCCCTTTCAAGTTCCTAATCGCATAACAAAATTATTCATTTTATTAATAAATTATCAAGTCAATTAACAGTTTTTAATAATGTCAAGAATATATTTAAATTAACAATTCAAATGATTTTATTGTTGTATAAGAGAGTAGTTATAAATTTTCTGTTAATTCTGTTAAACAAAAAATTATGACAAAAGAATAATTGTAATTTTTAAAAGGATAAATTACATATACACCCCTAAAGTCTGATTAAAATACGAATCAATCCTTGTGATTCTGAAAATTACAAGTTTCTAATTTCATAACAAATTATCTCTTTTATTAATAAATCATCAAGTCCATTAACAGTTTTTAATGATGCTTGGAATATGTTTCAATTAATAATTTAGGTAATTTTATTATTATATAAAAGAGTAATTATGAATTTCATTTTTTTAATTAATTTTTGTTAAATAAAAAATTATGACAATGGGGTATTTATAGTTTTTCAAATCATAAGGGCAATTTAAATTTTAAGCAAATCTCGGGAGTGTATTTGTAATTTATTCTTTTTAAAATTATAAAAGACAATCCATATTTTAAACAATAAAAATGCTAAAGATCCTAAAAATTTTATTAAATTTTTTACCAAATGTCTGTAAGACTCACATGGGACTCACATGATGTGGGTCCCACACCCATATGAGCTATTTAGTAAAAATTTTGAGATTCCTAATACAGTTCTTTAAACAAATCTCATAGATTGTATAATTTACCATTATTATTCTGATTTTCCTCTCAGAATCGAAACATACCCAAATCCATTGGTAGATTACCGAAATGTGAATCATGATACATGATCACTAATTCGGTTTTGTCGTT